AGTGCACTTATACTAAACAAATTTCTAAATTCCCACATCGATAAACAGTTAATGCTTATAAGGACTTACCACTTTGTTATCATCACACAATGCTTACAAGAGAAATTTTTTTTTTCTTCTCTTGTTTAAATCTCACTATTTTGATGTTGATTATTTTTATGGGAGCTTGTTGGTATGGCTGAAGCAGAGAAAAGTTGGATGAAATTAACAAATATTTAGATCTGAATTTCCCTGATTTGATGAGATATATGGGTGGTGCCAATTCCATATAAACCCTCTCACCCTGCTCTTGATTTGATGAGATATTACTTCATTTGCAAGTTGCAACCATTGCAGTAATGATTGTGCATAGATTCTGCTTTTGGAATAAATGCAAATTAAGCAAGCCTTTTTGTTATACCAACAGAAGTTCAGGAATTAATTATATAAATATACATATATCTGGATGCATATTCATAGAAATCATATTAAGAAATCTGCGCCACGCTTTTGTGTTTGACTTACTCTCTAAATTATGTTTTACAGTTTTATACGGGGAGGAGTGGAAGGGGAGGTGATAATGCTTCAAGGTTGAGTGACGGTAAGGATAGGATACTTTCTAAAGAATGATGTTTGCCAACATCCCACATTGGAGTAACACGCAATCATACGAATGCTTATAAGGACTAACATAACAATTTACATTGCCGAGCTTAGTAACGTGAGCTTATAACTAAGTAGGGCATTAAAGTGATTGGTTGTTTGAGTTAAGCCTTGTCAGGTGAGGTATGGTGCTCTTGGGCTGTTCACTTCGGTGAAGTCGCACAAAGCATGCTCCCTACCCACGGGTTAGTAGGGCCACCCAATCTCGATGCTTGGGTAGCAACCCATATTTAAGGATTTGATTGGGGGTGTTTAAGTGCCAAACCTGGAGCCCCCACAGATCAAGAGTTATCACACCTCAGCGTGCTGCCTGGCGCTTGGCCTCTCATCACACAATCACTTTTTGTCTCTCTTATTTGAGCCCACAAGTAGCGCATAATGTAAAATGGGCTTCGGAACCCTAGACCCATCAAAGCCCTAAGGACAAATCGGTAATAAAACAAGTCTTAAAATTAGGGTTTCAACTTTCGGGGAATATAGACAGAATAGATATAGCCTCCTCTCTCTCGAAGATATCCAATTCCTCCGGCTGCAGCTTCAGGTAGAGCATCGCCAGCCTCAAGATCAAACAAGAAGAAGAAGCAAAATGGTACGTTTTCTTTTATTTTGTTGCATTTTTGTTTTCACTAGTTTCATCGCACAGCCATTTCAGTAGTCTCGGTTTAGGGCTAAGTTTCGAATAACCCAGAACAATCTGTTCCTTTTGTCTCTCCATGGCTCTGATTCTTGATTCTCAGTGAATTTGAGAAAAAAATTTGAATCCGACGACCCCTTGGAGTTGCCAACCAATTGCTCAGTGAAAAGCTCCAAAGAGCTGCGTAGCAACCTTCCTCCACCCTCCTTTCCTCTCTCTCTCTCTCTCTCTCTCTGTATCAATTTATCTATTTATTCTTTCTTTTTTTTTCTTTTTTTTTTTGGTGATTTAATGAATGGGTATTTGTTTGGGTAGAGATTGATCCAAAAAGAGATGGGGTTGTGGCTGTTGGTGATGCTCTGTTTTCTTGGTTGCTGCTGAAGTAGCAGAAGCATTTGGGCAGAAATACGAGCTCTGTTTTCTTGGTTCAGAGAAAGTGAGTGGTGTGGCTGAGTTCGGGGATTGCGAGGAGTTGTTCTGGGTCAGTGAGATGAGGGGCTGGCTATGGTGGGAAGGGGGTAGCTGGGGGTGAGAAGGGGTTAATCCCTTTTTTTAATTATATATATATTTTTTTATGTTTTTAATTATATTTTAACTGAAGTTTGGATGAAATGTGAACATACATGCCTTTTGGTTTTAAATTTGAGAATGTTTAAAGTTATAATGCTGTACTCTGTCTCTGTACCAACAGCCGAAGCAAATCCATGAGATTAAGGATTTCCTTCTAACTGCAAGAAGGAAGGATGCACGCTCTGTCAAAATCAAGAGGAGCAAAGATGCAGTCAAGTTTAAGGTTCGATGCTCCAAGTACCTTTACACACTTTGTGTGTTTGATACCGAGAAGGCCGACAAGTTGAAGCAATCCCTTCCTCCAGGTATAGCTTTTTCGTTTTCAATCCCATAATTTATTTTCATTTGCAACTCTTATATGGTGGTTTTGGCTACCGCCATCTTTCAATTTAGGTGCATGAAAGCATGTTCATCTATGGTTTCTATCACTGAGGGGATAGAAACCAACATGTTTGTAAAGCTCAATTTTATAACTAACATGTTTGTTATGATTTTGTATGTGTAGGTTTGAGCGTGCAGGACCTGTGAAGACGGGATCCGGATAGCTTTACAAAATCGAATGGGATTTGTTTTGTCTTAAAGTTTTGAAGAATTTATGGATTGATGTTAACGTTGTTGGTGTTAGATGTTATGCCCTGATTTTATGTGTGGACTTGAGTTATATTTTAGTGGTTTTATGTTCCTCTCGAGATGATCTTTAGCCGTAGTGTTAAAACTTCCTATTTTTGCAGCATTACTTGATCATATGTACAAGTACTTTATGCCTAATCTCTTGTTGAATGTTACAAACAACTCTTTGGTTGAACAGTCTTTCCATTGGCATTGGCACATGTTACTGAACCACTTGATTCCAGCAGTTCGAACTCGCGTTTTCGAGTCTTATTCCACTGCATGGATTTTTTGCGCAACAATCAAATTTTATTGTGACTGCTGAAGCTGATGTTGCTTGAATGTTCCGGCACACGACATTAGATACCTGTAATTGAAACAAGATGAAATGTGCACTAGACATTTAGTCAAAACATGCGGTTATGAGAGTAGTAGATGCTCAATTTCTTCAGTGGAATAAACCTCAAGAAGATTAAGAAATTATTTTCATTTGAAAAGCTGTTGTTGTAGAAAAAACTGACACGGTTGAGAGAATGTTTTTCTTCTCTTCTTTAAATCTGAATTTCTCTGTGTTAATTCCGTCATGGGAGTCTATCTGAATTTATATTTCTCTTCTTACTCGTCGCAAAGAGCATGGATACATACTGGCTTCACTATGCACAATTGTTTGGGGTAGCTGAAAACAATGACAACCTTTCCAATCCCAAACCCACGAACTCCTGCCTGGTCATGTACAACCATAGTACAAATGATTGATTGTGCTCTGATTCCGCTTTAGAAGGTTAAATTTACTAAACAAAGCCAAATTTACAAAGAAATACTCGAGGTAGAAAGATAATTTACTAGTTAGGATTTTGAAATCACTACTGGGGAAAAATCCCACATTGGAAAAACACTCAAGAATACAAAAGCTTATAAGGGCTTAAATGACACTTTGATATTGCCGAGCCTAGTAGCGTGGGCTTGTAACTAAGTAGGGTATTAAAGTGATTGGTTATTTGAGCTAAGCCTTAGCAGGTGAGGTATGGTAGTCTTGGACTGTTCACCTTGGTGAAGTCGAACAAAACACGCCCCCTACCCTCGGGTTAGTAAGGCCCTCCAACCTAAATGGGTGGATAGCAAACCTCAATTTGTGATATGATTGGGGTGTTAGGTATGAATGCTAAACCCCACGGATCAAGAATCATCACTCCTCAGCGTGTTGCCTGGCTTGGGCTCTCATCACACAATCACTTTTTAGTCTCTTCCTTATCCTCTCTCTTTGAAGGCTAACTTCACTATTTTAGGAAACGGTTTACTTTTGTATAAATAAATAAATAATGATAAGAAACATTGTATAAATAAATGGGAGATTCAATATTATACTCAATATAAGGGTCCAAATTATAAAAATACCATATATAAAATGGACTTTAGAAACACACCCAAAGCTCATTTACAACATAACAAATAAACTTTTAACTTCTTATAAATTACAAAACTGTCATCGATTTCTTAAAACAAGCCCAACCCCAAAACCTCATATATAAAAAATCCAAAACACTCAATAGAGCATCAAAGTAATTTAATAATCAAAATTAAATTAAATAGAGCCACATGTTATTTTTTGGGTTATTTTTGGGTTTGTTTATAGAAATTAAATGGTGTATGATTTATTTATATTTTTTGTGTCAATAATGGGTATATAACTAAATATCTATAAAAGAGGCAACCTTCCCGCATCACCATCAACAGCTATATTTTAGTAAAAAGTGGGACCCACTTGTGCCACGTTTGCCTTTTATTATTATTATTATTTTATTATTTTACACACTTGACGTTGATGAGGTAAAGTGAGATGGAAAATATCAGTTAAGGGCCAAGGTGGGTCACTTCTACTTCCGAAGGCAGTGTGAGATTTGACTATATAGTTTCGAAGGGCACTCATGTAAATAAGCATTAAAAAATTGTCCCTTAACAAAATGAAGATATCATCTTGTAATTTTTGGAAGCGTGAGGGAAAATTTGAATATATGTTAAACTTGAACAGACGACCTCATTATCTTTAAAAAGTGGTCTCATTCCAAATGGAAAAACTCATTCAGTTATTCATTTACCACCTTTATTCTTTCGCGCTTGCACACACATCATTAGTATAACCTTGCTTAAAATTAATTATGAAAAAATGCAATAATAAACAACTTTAATTTAAATTAAGCGTGTGCCATTTGAGTTATTTCATTTATTATTATTATTTTTATATTAGTAATTCAATTTAAAACAAAAGAAAAAGAAAATGTGTATAATTGTGTCCCATGAAAATGAGGTAATCTTTATTTAAAACAAAATTGTCCCTCTAAAGAAAATGAAAGTATGGCCTTAAAAGAAATATATCTGTAATTTTCCCAAGTCTTGGGGGTTAAATTGAAAATATGCTAAACCCGAATTAACGAACTCGCCTTTAAAGAGGGGTCTCGGCCCAAACGGTAAAGCTCATTCATGTATTCATTTCCCGCTCTCTCACACACTAAGAAGAAGAGCGAGCGAGAGAAGTAGAAAGAAGATGATGACTGCAACGAAAGGGTGGGCCTTTGCTCTGGTGGTGATCTTCTCTGTGCTTCTGTCATGGAGCATTCCAAGAGGCGAGTCAGAGAGAGCCTTTATCTCTTTCTCCTCCCATGAACCACTGGTCAAAGCGGTTTCTCTGGCTTCTGCTGATGGAGGCCAAGATTTCTTCATGGAGATGACAGATTCTGTTGCAATGAACATCGAGTACGATTTCTACCGCGATACATGCCCTGAAGCTGAAACCATTGTAAGTTCTACGATGGCTCAGATTTACTCCCAGCACAAGAATGTCTCTGCTCAGCTTCTTCGCCTCTTTTTCCATGATTGCTTCATTCAGGTATACCAAGATTCTTCTTTTATTCATCTTTAAAGCTTTTTATCAAGTAGGTTTCGTTCTGATTACTCTGGGTTCTCTGCTTTTAATCTTGATTGTAGTTTTCTGCATCTGTGTGGGTTTCTCTCGAATGGGCTTTGTTTTGATTGCTCTTGATTTCCTGCTTCTAGTCTTGATGGTTCTTTTCTTCATCTATGAATGGGTATTGTTTGGATAGCTCTGGGGTTTTCTGCTTTTAATCTTGGTCGTCCTTTTCTTCGCCTGTGTGGGTTTCTCTCAAATGGGAATTGCTTGCTCCGGGCATTGGAATCTGCGAATCTTGAAACTTTGTGATTTTCAATTTATGTTGGTGAGGTATATGATTCTTTTGAGTGTTTCTCAATTTGATGTTGTTATTGGTTTCTATGAGTCTTGAAACACTGGGTTGTTCAATCTGACGTAAAAGTTTGGCTTTCTGGTTCGAGTTGTTCTTTTATGATTTTTAACACTTGAGAATCTGAAAATTCTTATCTGGGAATGTTAAAGCTAATGCTGGACATTTAGTTTACGATGATTTGGACATGATATTTATGACTTTTTCTGAAATGGGTTTTCGTTTCTTCGAGTCTTTTGGCTCTAACCTTAGTTGGGCTATAATATTCCCTTTCTTCTTGTAAGGTGGTTTCTTTCTTTTTAATCAAGCATGTATTACTTGGATTTCTGTCTAATTCCATCTGTCTTTCTTAATGTTGTGGGGTTTTTGAATCAGGGTTGCGATGCTTCAGTCCTCTTGGATGACAGCAATGGGAATAAAAACCATTCCATAGAGAAGCAGGCTGTGCCAAATAAGAGCTTGAAAGGATTTGATAAAATTGATCAGATCAAGGAGGTGCTCGAAAATGTTTGCCCTGGGGTGGTATCTTGTGCTGACATACTTGCTCTTGCCACCAGAGATGGCGTTGTTCTGGTATGTTTTACTGCTCCTCCGAGTCTTGACGTATTCTTTCCTGTTTTGATTTTCAGAGTTCGATCGTTACTGGGCAATGTATATATGTATCTAAAACAACCTCTAAGGCAAAAATTTCCAGTTTCTTTCGCTTTCCATCTAATTACCATTAGAAAACCGAACTAAAAGAGAGAAGTAAGAAACCAAAACTATCACACATTAGTTGTTCAACCTTGTCAACATTTAGTAGTTCCTCCTCAGTACTTAAGTGGAAAAGCTACAGAGCACTTCACCAGACTATCTGTTTGCTTGTTTCAGTATTTCCCTGCACTTTTAGCTGTCCTGTTCCCTGAGTGTTTGTCCTATCTAAAATGACAGGCTGGTGGTCCCTTTTATCCACTTTTCACTGGTAGAAGAGATAGTGCCCGCTCCTACTATGATGAAGCCACGGCTGAGATTCCAAAACCTGATGATAATATCACTCAGACACTTCATCTGTTCTCACTCAGAGGTTTTACTGACAGAGAAACCGTCAGTCTTCTAGGTACTCAACTAACAAATTCTGTTCCTTCTTTTTCTTCATTTCTTTATGTTTGGAGCTGAAATAGATTAATCAGTCTTGACTTATTCTTCCCTTCTGATTTTTTTGTTTTTGTTTTGTTTCATATCTGTAGGAGGGCACAACATTGGGAAGATTGGATGTGAGTTCATTCAGTCTCGCCTTAACAACTTCAAGGGGACAGGGAAACCAGACCCAACTGTTTCTCCTAGTTTCCTCAATGAGATGAGAGTTTTCTGTGAAGACAATGGTAACGAGAAGAGTAGCCAAGGATCGCCCATGGCAGCTACCATGGCGTCTCCCATGGCATTCCCCACGGCAGGCCCCATGGCAGCAACCATGGCATCATCCCCAATGGCATCAAGGGGTATGAGTGAGAAGCCTGCGCGGAGGGGGATGCCATACTTTCAGCAACTGTCATCATTTGTATCGTCTGGGGCAGGCTTTGACACTCATTACTACCAGAGCTTGTTGAGAGGCAGAGGACTTCTCTTTGCTGATCAGCAACTGATGGCTAATGAGAGGACAGCCAGATTGGTGAGAGCTTATGCTTCAGATGATGGATCAACCTTCCGGATGGACTTTGCCCGGGCAATGATGAAGATGTCTAACCTTAATCCACTCACTGGATCTCAAGGTCAGGTCCGATTAGAATGCACTCTAGCTAGCTAGCTAGTTCTTACCTGACAGAATCCGACCGGAGGCCATGATGGAGATTGAAGAAAACTTCTGTTCAAATATTTGTTCCCTCTGGTTGTACAGTAGAGAAACTTTTAGCCATGTTAGACCACATTCATTCCCTTAGCCATCTTTATTAGTCATGTTCATTTGTGAATTGTTAGTACCTGCAGATATATAGCAGCAAGCAAAGAAAGTTTAACTAGAGAATGTTAATCCCCTTCCCGCCTATGTAGAGTTGAATTTTTCTGATTGTGAATAACTCAAGGACTAGTGTGATTGTTTTCTCTTTGCCATATACAAGATGGGATTTTCTTTTATCTTTTTCTTTTTAAAAAATCCATGTCCATGTCCGAGACTTCATAATGATGGAACTCAACTATGGAGGCATTACAATCAGAACAAGGACGAGTGTGATTAATAACTCAAAATGACTAAGTTTGGTCATGTGGTTCTATAGGTTTAGCAAAATCAAATTGAATAATTCAAGGACCAGTGTTATTGTTTTCTTCTTGCCATACAAGATTAGAGTTCATGTATATATATATATATATATATATATATATAGTTGAGTGAATGGCATGCACGCAGGCTAGGAGGATTTGCCCAACTTATGCTTAAATTAATATATATATATATATATATATGTTTGTGTATATATATTGAATAATATGAAATCTTATATTATATGGATGGCAATATAAGGAACGACGGATGCCCAAGTTTAAGCCATCTTTTCACGCCCAGATTTTCGGAAGATTAGGTGCACGTGATGGAGTTACTTTCATACTTCTCTAAATTTTTTTTTGAAAAAAATTACCATTTGAGTAAATTACCCTAAAAAAACGACTTCATACTGATCTCACCAAATTACACCCAAAATATAAAACCAGTTTTCATTTTAAAAGTTATCAAACCAAACATGCATGGATATATCTAAATTATATAAAATGGATTATGATGGAAATTATCCAACCAAAAAAGAAAAAGAAAACCAGTTTTCATTATAAAAGTTATCAAACCAAACAGGTAGGATATGGTATGTATATCATCATCGGATAATTCAACAAAATCAACTTCATTACGCATCTCTGTTTTCATTCTTTAATATTGAGTACTTTTTTTTTCTTTCTAAATTTTTTGTTATTGAATATTAGAAATTATTTTTTGGGCCTAAAAGCTAGGAAGCAAAGAAGTCCAACTTAAGTTGTGCTTAAGTCGGTTTCCCAAGTCTATATAACTAGACAGAACCTTCAAACCTTTTCACAAAAATAGAAAGAAAACAATCGTTGGAGCAGTTACATTCGAGACTTCTCACCCTAGTAACATAAGTCGATGTTCATTGCAACACTTTCTTTTTTCTTTGAGATCAAAGTTAGGAGAAGGGGTTGCACCGAATTTCGAGTTAAGTTACTTTCGGTGAATTTCAACTTCATTTCAACTTTCCGCGACAAGAAGCATAGCTAAGGTATGCACAACAATACTGAGTGTTTCTTATTGCATGATTCTCAATTTGGTGTTGCTATTGGTTTCTATGAATCTTGAAACTCTGGGGTTTTCATTCTGAGGTAACAGTTTTGTTTTGGTTTTTTTTCTGGTTCAAGTTGTTCTTTCATGGTTTTTAACGCTTCGGAATCTGTAAACTCTTTATCTGGGAATTTTAAGAAGCTACCCTGCTGCTCATTTAGGTACATGATATTTATGAGTTTTCTCAAATTGGTCTTGATTTCTTTGAGTCTGTCAAAATGATTAGATTTGGTCTCGTGGTTCCATAGGTTTAGCAAAATCAAACTGAATAACTCAAGAACTACTGTGATTGTTTTCTTTTTGTCATACACGATTAGGGTTCATACATCATTTCTTCTTCCGCAAGGATTAATTCTTATGGTTTTTATCTCACCAACAGACCCAAAATATAAATAAAAAAAACCAGTTTTCATCTAAATGAAAATGGGACTTGCAAACAAAAATGGTGTACTAGCCATTTTTGAAAATGTAAATTATGTGTCAACCTTCCACTTTTGTTCTTCTTTTTTCTTTTTTTCTTTTTAATTTTTTTTTTAAGTCGGATAAATACAACATTTAAATTAGATCAACAACAATCTTCTCATTTAAATTATCCAAACCAAAATATACAAAAACCAGTTTTCATTTTAAAAGTTATCCAACCAAAAATATTCTATTTTCTATTATTTTCATTATTTTAATATTTTCTATTTTTAAATATTCTCTTTTCCAATTTCTCTTTTTATTGAATATTTGAGTAGACATTGTTTAAGTTTCCGATTTTTTATCAGACATTGCTTTTTAGGTATAACATGAACAAGGAGGGGTGATGAGCTTTCATTTAAAGCTGTTTTCTTGCATCCAACTTCTTGTTTAGATAACTCACAACTTACATTCAACCGAAACAAAACAAAAGAAAAACCAAAGAAAGGCAACTGCCAATGGAAGCCCAAAACAAAGATGAGATAATCATATTTCCATAAACATAATCAAGCAAATATAGCGATGGCTTAACTGCCACTCGCCAACTGTAATTAAATTATCGTTTCTATACCTCCTCCTACTTCATCCGTTGGCTGTCCACCGATTGATGAGTAAATTTTTTCCACATTTGCTAGATTTCATTCCAAATTGCAGTTCAACATATTTAACATTGAAATGATATTCAACAACTTATTCCTTAACTGGACTCTATTTCTACTCTAGTAATATCATCTACAATGGTTTCCAGACTTCCCCTCACTTAATTCTTTTCAGCCCCACAGGCAAAAGGAGAAGGACTGCATTCAGAATGTCTGAATTGGCGAAAATAAATACATGGTATAAATCAATGTTATGAAACTATTACATGCAAGAAGCATTCACTAATTTGGATGCAAATTTCACATACATTGTCAGTATCGTACAACTACAATTTTTATTATCCAGGTTCATCATATCTTCCGACATTTGATTGTTTAACCCGACTATTCGCATTCAGAAGCAGGAAACTATCAACCAACCTAGTAAATTCTCTCAGCTGTGGAGACGGGACGAAGGAAGACAACAATGACTGTGATGTTGTCTTTGCTGCCACGCTCTGCTGCTTCTGTCGCCAATCTCTTGGAGCACATTCCAGGCTCTTTCACAGTGTCCTTGATTATGCTTACAACCTCTGCATTGCTCACAACATCCCACAATCCATCACTTGCCATTACCTGACAAACAAAAATGTTTTTTTCTCAAAAAAGTAAGAATAACAAAAAACAGTAATTGTAATTTAGATTGAATATCTTAAGCAATCAGATTATTTGTTTTTAGACAGAAAACTCAATGTGGGTTATGTTGCCTGCCAGCATGAAATGTCATTGTCAAAAATAAATAATATACAAATAAATAATTTACAAATTTATAAATAAACCCAATCCTAGACATGTATTTATAAAAAAACCCAAGTACTATTTAAAAATAGAAACACACCCAAAATCAACCCCAAAGTCAACTTTTTGGGTGTGTTTATAAATGGGTTTTGAGTGTGTGTAATGATGGGTTTTGGGTGTGTTTATAAAGTGTTTTGGGTGTTGGGTTTTTTTATAATTTCAACCTCCATTTTGGGTATTTTAGTGAAACTCCTAAATAATTTTCCAGTATTTTTAACTTCATGGAACATTTTGACTCGTAACAGAGCTCTGAGATTTTTTAAACAGCATCCAGCAACATTGAAGACCAGCACTATCAGAAGATGCTAAGTTTATGACATAGAACTTCCCAGTCAATATTAGCAATTTAGTAATCTATGGACAACTGCTTACATGTGTATGGCCTCCAAGATTCCATCATGGTATCACACATAAACTTATAAATGAACAACAGTCTTATTCTTACCCTGTATTTAAGGTGAAAAAATGATTATCACTGACAAGATGCCAGAAAAGCCCTTATGACAAACATAGAATTATAGATAACTGGACAGGAAGACGTGCAATATTTTGTGGTGTCTGAGCAGTAAACAGGATGAAAGATGATTACAGTGATAATTGTAGAGGGGAATATTCAAGAAGCATGTATGCCTATAATTAAATCATAGAGAAAGAAAGCTTCAAATGTTGATCACAAAGTAAAATATACTTGAAGCTCTACATGCAAGAAGCATACTCAGAAGAGGTTCTTTCCTCATTCATGTTATATTCTTTCCAAAACCTAACCATTAGTTTTAAAAAATCAATTCATATATCTGTCATCAAACTTAATATCTATTTATCAAAATCTTATTTCTTACCAAATACTCATCCTCTGCCGAAAGAATAGTTTCAGTTATCTCAGGTTCTGCGGTTACAGCAGGCTTTAGATCATCATCCCCTATGGAACGAGTGACCTGTTGAAAGAAATAATGTAAAACATGCACATATACAGCATTTTAGTAAGGTATCACCCGTTCACTGCCATGATGCCTTCTTCAGGTGGCAAAGGGAATAATCCAAATACATGTTACTGTTAGGCCAAAAATTTACACGTAATACAGGTCATAAGTTTCTGAAGCATATCTTTCCAAGAGAGGAGGGAAAAAAAAGCTGATTTGATGCAGTACACCAGAATTTTATTCACAAGTTCCTTCAAAAAGGAAAACCCATAAATGTGGGCTGATTAAAACTTATAAGAAGCCATCTTCCTAAATAGCAGCAGAATTAACAGTACTGGCACAACCAACCTAAAGATCTACCCTTATACAAATCGTCATGTAAAAAAGAGATGTCAGTGTCGTCAAACAGCTCAAGATCAAGAAAACTCATATCAAGCATTACTTTTATATTCTTATAAAACCCACATCAATAGTCAACGGACCCCATGTTGTAGGCAACTTACATCATTGGTCAAAAAAGCTAGCAGTTTAGCACATATATTTGTAGAAACAAATCATTCATAATCTCACACCAAATTATAAATCGGAGTTCAATGAACGATTTTTCATAAACATAGAAGACCTGTCAGTCTAATTTTTTATTAACTCTGCTACAAAACCTTTCCTCTTCTGAAAAGTGAACTTTCTTTTGTAAAAGTCAGCAAGAACTCCTCTGTCATAGAAGATCAACCTAAAACGTTGGTTTCAAATTTTATTTTCCATTTTCTTAGAAGAAAAACCAACATGATAACAAGTTGTATTGCAAAACTGTACAAGTCTCAACAAAGTTGCAATTATTTTATTTCAAAATTAGAATTGTACAGAACAGATTAATTTCTTTGGTAGCTGTTTATGTATGAATAACAATTTACAAGGTCTATCTAAGTGGCACATATGTGCCTTCAAAGAAAATCTTACTTTGACATTACAATGGAAGATGATTATTTTTGCTTTTCCTCTCAGCCAGATTTTATGAATTGTCTAATTTTTTTATAACTCATTATAAAAGTTTTACCAATTAACTCGAAAAAATAGGTTCATGTGCAAAACCAACATGACAACAAGTTGCGTCGCAAAACTGTACAAGTCTCAACAAAGTTGCAATTATTTCCAAATTAGGATTGTACAGAACTGATTAATTTCTCTTTGGTAGCTGTTCATGTATAAAATAATATATGAGCTCTATCTAAGTGGCACATATGTGCCTTTACTTTGACATTACAATGGAAGATGATTATATTTGCTTTTCCTCTCAGCCAGATTTTATGAATTGTCTATTTTTTTCTGAACTGATTCTAAAAGTTCTACCAATTAACTCAGAAAAAAGGTTTGTGTGCGAGCCTTCCATTTGGAAAATAATACTAACCTGCTCAAGTAAATTGCAGCATACAGTCCATTAAATCAGCAAACAAAAAGAAAACATTTTTGGAAGACAACATTACAAAACTATCATGATATCTAAAGAGACAAACCTGAAGAGCAGCAAGACCCACCCGCCAATTATCTACTTGCCATCTAACTTGTTCCCCAGCACTAATAACCCGCTCCCTCTCCTCAAGACAGCTTGCAACATGATCCTAATATTTCATCCATTATACTGAGAAAAATAACACCTTGTACTAAACCAGAACAACCAAACAGGAATGTAAGAAGTTCCGGTCACCTTGCTTAGAACAAAGGGATGGCCAGCCCGACACAATATGGTCCTGCAATCACCAGCATTAGCCACAAAAAGCTTGTTTCCAACAATAAGAGCAGCTGCTGCAGTGCAACCGGGATGCCAGTCCTTCTGGATAACTCTCTTGGATTTACGAGAAAAATCCAGCTCAGCTCTAAACGCAATATCTGTCTTAATGAATGCTTCGAATAATGCACCACTTGGACTGCATCAAAGGATAAAATCAATTATGGTCAAATAACACACACACACGCACACACACATATATGCATAATGTTGAAAACGAAATGGAAACGGAAGAAACCTGCTAGTTGAACTTAAAGCTTGCAAGAATCCTGGAAACGCTCGAGCTGAAAATTCGGCAGCTGCTGCACCTGCATTTGGTAAATCCTTGTAGCATAACATTGGAATTTGGATGCGTTAAGAATTAGTAGGACTGAATCAACCGTGACACCAGTAAAAATCCTAAATACACAATTAGAATTAGATATATCACCGAAAATCACCTCTATGACCATCAAAGATACCAAAAGCATGTATGTCCCCTTGATGAAACATTTGGGGCAAAAGGAAATGAGTGTCCTCCATGGTCTCCCGTCTCCCACATGTAGCAAAGGATCCCCAAGAAAGTATTGGATTATATGCCAAGGGATCATTTGATGCAAGCCAGATTGCTGTACCAGGTTTAGGTAGACAAGCTCTTGTGATGAAATTTTCTCCCTGAGAAAACCAGTTAATACCCTCTTGGTAAGCTTGAAGGCTGCTAGCAACATAAACCGGCTGATCACCAAGAGAATTAGAAGATTTGGGAAAGACAATATCTGATTCTTTCATATTTTCTCCCTGTTCCAAAATTGTACCAAGTTCTGCAACTATGTCATCAAAAGAAGGTCTGTTTTGAGAATTTGCATCCCAACACCTCTCTATCAGTGACAACAAAGTAGATGGTGCACCAGATTCAGCACCAGCAAGAACAGGTCGCAATCCATCAGACACCACAGCTGCTGTTAGTTGCTGCTCAGTGTAGTTCATCTCCAGTACAGTGTGTGCCTGCCAGCAACACAAATATTACGCATCAGTCAGCTACCATGATCTTAAACAGTGATAAATTTGAAGAGTCAAATCCATAAAATAAAAGACCTATTCATATTAAGCTTCAAAATTTATGTTGTATAACAAACACAATTCCATCAAAAGATGCCACTCTGAAACCCAAGAAAATAGTATTGTCAGAACATATACATGAATCCATCGATAGATGATAAGGAATTTTACTAAATATAAAGGACGACTGTCAAACAAAAATATGTCATAGGATAGAAGCAAAGGCTTGACCAATGGATAGGAAGAAATTTTCAGGCACAGTAATGGATTGTTGGGCAGTTAGCAATACTCTTCCGTGTTGAAGTCAATATATAGAACATAAAGGCACCAGGACCAAATGGCTTAAAGGTATTTAAATAACTAAATAGCTAATTAGACATAGGTCTGTTATTAACATTTTTTTCTACAGAAGTACTGCATGTTTTCAGTATCCGATCCTTGAACTAGTTCATTAATAAAATAATAGAAAATAGAAGTCCTTAAATGCTTCTCACTATGATTAAATGGAATTTCAACTATCCAGTAACTTAAATTCCAAATACTAGTACAAATCATTAACAGTTATTATGCTCAAATGTCGTTTGTAAAAATCTTAACTCAATACACCTAGAGTTTCTACCTCCAACAAATTCCTTTAAATTCTACTAAATTCTAGATTGAAACTTTTCATCCACGAATAATGTGCCACATTTGCAACTGGAACATATAATGCGCCTTGCGGTGCCTCGTCGACAAGAAAAATATTTTAACCTTTCTGAATCTGGATGAAAGCTATTTCTAACCAATATTTGATTTCTACAATATTATTATTTCTGCATTTAACCATACTGAAAGCCAAAAAATAAACCGGAATTTTCAATACAATTCCCTCTTTTTATACGTAAAAATGCAAACATGTGTATTAGCAACAAGAATCATATGACACATCAATCAAACAATATATCAGCATCGTAAATCATAACACAAGTAAGCCAAATACAATTGAGAAAGGCTAACCTGGGCTTCCGCACGAAGATCAGTATATGGAACAACACCAGTAAGAAGCTCACTGCAAGAGGATCATCGTCAAATCACAAATTCATGGGAAAAAGAGCACAAAAACTGTAAACTGCATATTTTTCTATACAACAGTAGCATCAATAATGAATTACCAGTATAAATAGCATTTATCACAATGTTACTATTCACTATGATTCAACTACATCTATAATTCTAATTTTGCAGTACTATATTATAGTATCTTGCAAGAATGATCCTTGACTGTGAATTTATATATATTTACCATAATTATTCAAACGAAGTCTATGTATTTTTTTCGCACACGTCCAGACATGCATGCACCTAGTGAGACTCATAGGTGGAGTTGTATATCGGATCCTAAGTATGCTCCAGGTAAATGGTTATTACTTTCTACCAACTATTGGCACCTAGATGTTGAACGAGATACACACGCAAACAGGTTCTATTATAGACAAAAGGTCGAGTTCTGGAAATTGTAATTTCGTAGGAGGAAATATGGTTACATAGCGTAGCAAGAATTGGTCAGTGCAGAGACAGAATTTAGAGCCATAGCTCAAGAATCTGTGAAAGCAGAGGGGCTTGATGAGCGAATCTTTCTTGAGAAACCAATGAAACTCTTCTGCGACAACAGATTAACATTGAACACAATCTGGTTAAAAATGAAAATACTAAGCATGTTGAGGTGGAGATACTTTATAAAGGAAAAATTGACATAAGAGATTATTTGCACTCATTCATGAAAACCGAAGATCAACTCATAGTCTAACAGATATCTTAACTAAGGCAGTGTCTAATAATGTTTTTCTATTCTACACTGAACAAGTTGGAAATAAAGATATCTTTGCACCAATTTGCGAGGAAGTGTAAATCCCTCCAATATTGGACAAAAAAAGACAGAAATTCATCCCCAAATTACTCTCTGAAGGAATCCTACTTCTGCGAAAAGGACTCTCCCTCTCCAATATATAGACAGCTCTTCACCTCAAGAAGAAAATCTAGCAAAGACCATTCAACATTATGATATCAATTTTACCTCTATTGAGATGTCTCAATTATACTCATTTTATTCACAGTAAGAGAGTGACTTGGGTTTAATTGGGATAGTATTGAAAGTGATTTAAAATAATTAATACCACAGCTACCCTGGTTCTAGGATTGCATGATCTTATTTTTCTTATTTCGATGTTGATCCAATCTTTAGCATCAACATACTTTATCAGCAACGTCAAAAGTCTGATTAGCATCTCCCCACAAGTTAAAGGTGCTAAGGTTAGGTACAAATACCATATAGAAACTTTGTCCATTAAAAATATTTAGGTTCCCTGAAAGGTCTTAAAGGTTCTAAGGCTCAATTCAAAAATCTATAACAAACAGCAAATAGCGTCACTTGAAAGAACACAACTTCAGTTACATTTGTCTTGTAGGCATAGATCTAGTAGAATAAAATTTGCTAGTTTTTAGCATAATCAAATCTTAAATCCTTACTTAATTGATATACCAAAGCTGTAGACATCTGATTTTTCTGTATGTATTTCCTTCTTTAGTATTTCAGGTGCCATGTAAATGAGAGTGCCAACCATGTTTTTTTTGTGGAAACCACCAGTAGGTTTTCCAGATGACCTCCAATTCCCAACGGAAACTCCTTTAAGATCTTTCTTGTACTCAGCCAAACCAAAGTCTGCTAAGTGTGGATAAAGATCTTCGTCCAGCTGCATCGTAAGGGTATAATATAAGTTAAATTCATCCAAAACAAGTCAAAAGAGGATTTCTGTTTGCTACAGAATAAGATAAAGGAAGGCATTTACAAGAATATTTGACGGTTTCACATCCCTATGTACAATCCCGAGGTGATGCAGATATTGCAAAGCCTTTGCTGGAAAAGGAAAACAATGTAAACTCATGCAACTAAATAATTTTAGAAACCTCGAAATGAAAATAGTAGTAAAAATAAAATGCCTGTTTCCGGCAATAAGCTGTTATAGCAAACTCATCAACATAACACAAGTTCGATCTATACATGATGTTACAGTACAACATCTTGCTGAACCATCATCAATTTATCCTATAGACCATCTTGCGGTTATCCTCCATTCTTAATTTCTATGGCCCCAAAACTAAAAATCCTAGCTCGACCCCTGCAGACACACACATACACATGCATGCACACCCAGAGTTATTTTAAGAAATATTCAGACACCCTTTGTGGTGAGGCTAGAAACCATAGACCTCTCAGAGGCTTAACATATACATGTGTATGTATGTTTATATGTATAAATCTGTATGTGTGTGTGTGTGTGTGTATTTATTGTGATACTTGATACCCAGGTGGTTCAATAAAGAGGGTAAAATGACAGAGCCCATTAAATCATAAAATCAAAATCACAATTATAACTTGCCCTTCCTACAAAATTAGTTCACACATTTCCTCTGTTAATGGTAGGGCTAAATACTAAGATGATCTGAACTCATAAAAACACTCAGAGAAAAACACAGAAGCAACTAAGTCATACCTAATTGGACAGCAACCGCAAGCACCTGATTGATATTCGGACTCCATTCTTCCATGTGTAATTTCTCAGATAAGTTCGGAGGCTCAAAGAATTCGAAGAAATACATGTAATTGGGTGGCTTTGCATGTGCGGCAACCAGTTTTGCTATTCCCGGATGATCAAGCTTACTTCAATGTTTATATATACTCGAATCATTCACATAAATAGATTCATATGCATATACATACATATACAGAACTATATCCTCACAGCATTGAAACATGTAATGTGAATTATATATGAACCATAAACATACCATAGCAATTGCAACTCCTTGTGGAACTTATCAAGATCCTCAGAAGTAGACAAGATGGGTTTCTTCACAGCAACTTTCTTTCCATCCAAAATTGCTTCATATACAACACTCTCAGCCCCTACACACACAATCAGCACCAAAAAGCATACCGGAAAATAACCAATTAATCAATTAATTAGAAATATCGAAAATAAAAGGCAAGTGGCGATAGGCATTAGGCATTAGCCAAACAGAGCCTTAGCTAGAGCCTGAACTGGATAGAGGAAAAGGAGTGTGAGTTACCCCGGGCAATTGGTTTGAGGAGAGTGTAAGAGGAAGGTGGAAGATGGAGAGGAATGGAATTGCTGCTGCAGCAACCTCTAATGCACGCGTTTGGTTCCACAATTTCAAGCCCCATCTCTCCAAAACACACACACACACTCTCTCTCTCTCTGGCGTTGTAAGTCGGTGTGGCGAAGAAGAAAGAAAGCAGCAGCAATTAAATTACGAAAAGGGAGTGTACGGGTGTTTTTTTTGTGGGAGGTCTGCTGTTAGGAATTTTCGCTCTGCTACCGTATGAAATTCAATAGTACAAATTCAACCTGCGATATTTTGTTTTGTTTGAGTAGTGAGTTCTACGCATAAAGTTTATTTTCGTATCACTTTAATACATTCGTTAGTCCCACCATTATGTTTTTCTTTAAATGTGATGTTATCATGTGAACTAACCCATATTTTGGCACGTGGATTAAATAATGAAAATATATTTATTTAATTAATTAAATATTTACAAAATCTAAAAAATCTTTTTTTTATTTACACTTTCTGAATGCACCTCCCATCCATGTGGTTGAGGTCTCAGCGGGAAACTGGAAGTGGTAAATTTTTTTATTTAAAAAAAAATATATTTTAGGTTGAATTTGAAATTTTATAAAAAAGAAAGATTTAACAGAATTGACCGCATTAAGAAACATATACAAACACAAGGAGGAAATGACCCAAACCTTTTTTCTCATTTTTAAAAAATAATTTAGTTTTCAATGATAATAATTAAAGAAAAACTCAAATAGGATGAAACTAAATTATGAAATTTGGTTTTTCGATGTGAAAGGAAGAGACAAAAAGTGATTGTGTGATGAGAGTGCAAGCCAGGCAGCACACTAAGGTATAGTGGCTCTTGATCCGTGGGGTCTAGGTATGGAACCCAACACCCCAATCATATCCATTTTTTTGGTTTGCAACCCAACCATTAAGGTTGGGGGACCTACTAACCCGAGGGTAGGGGTGTGCTTAATGCGACTTCACACAAGGTGAACAGCTCAAGACCATCATACCTCACCTAACAAGGCTTAGCTTAAACAATCAATCACTTTAATGCCCAGCTTAGTTACAAGCCCACGCTACTAGACTCGGCAATATCTTAATGTTATGTAACCCTTTATAAGCATTTGTATTATTGAGTCTTTTTCCAATGTGGGACTTTACGACAATCATCATTATGGCACCCCAATAGTGATTTCAAAATCCACAGTAGCAAATTCTCCAATATGAAATGGAGTGTTTCTTCTTAACAGTTGCTTTATTAATCATTAAATTGTCTATATACCCTAATTAAAGTAAATTTAGGTTTTAGTCAAAAAAAAAATTTCACTTTTGGAAAAAGCCAAAACTTTTTCAAAAAAGACAGAAAAACCTATCAACTTTCAAATTAAAGACATACAAATGTAAATGATTCTTTAGGAAATTCAAAAATAAATAAGGGTAATTTTGTCCATTTTGGCTTCTTTTACAAAATTTATCTCTCCTTTGTGTTTTTTCAAAGTCTCCCTATAATTAATTAGTCGATGAATTGCAATAATTTATGTTTCAAAATTTCCATTATATCGTTTTGGTGTCGGTGGAGTTAAGTTATGCGAACTTAACTCTATGTGTGTGCAATGAAAACGGGCATCACAAAGAGGATTGCTTCCTTCCAAAAGCAAAACATGTGCACAATTAAATGAGGAGAGAGTTAAGGCTTCAGGAGTTTGTGGTTTTGGGATTGGAAGAGCTGTAATAATTTTCAGCACACCCGAACTTTTGTATTCAAAAAAATAAAGTATTCTTCAAAATTATAATAGGGTTAGTTTAGCCGTACCCGTATAATTAAGAGGTAATTATTCTCAAATCCCTCGTTTTGGTAGGAATATAATTCATATATACGGAATTTTTATGTACCACATGTCGTCACCAATAAGCAAATAAAAATAATCAACATCAAAACAGAGAAATTCAGATTTAAACAAGAGAAGAAAAAAAATTCTCTTATAAGCATTGTATGATGATAACAAAGTAGTAAGTCATTATAAGCATTGATTGAGTGTTTTTTGACATGGCATTCTAAAAATTTTCTTCTGACTGTGATAGTGCATCACCCTTCGATCTTAGGTAGCCCAACCCTATAAAATAACATCTAAAGAACTTATGCGCAAAAGCACTTCCATGTTGGTAGACTGAGTCACCAAGTGATTTTGCTAAAATCACTTCCATGGAAACAATCACAAAACCAGCTCTTTGACACAGCTCCGTTCTCCTCCTTCCTTCAACTGGTCGATGTGGAACAATGGGTCAATACCCTGTCTTGAAGAAATCTGTCCTGTCTTTGTGCTTCAATGCAAGTACATCTAAATCCTCTCCGCAGCCTTCTGATCATCATAGGTATAATAATTCATCCAATAATTATAAAGTAAATTAAATTAGAAACTGAACCAATTTGTTGATTTATTAATAAGTTGCAACAAATGAAAGAACATAAAATATATATATATATATAGTTGTTTTGGAAGTTGGGAGAGAGGAAGAGAAAGTGATTGTGTGATGAGAGGCCAAGGCAGGCAGCACACTGAGGTGTAATGGCTCTTGATGTGTGGTTGAGGTCCAGGTTTTTCTTCTTCTTCTTCTTTTTTTTCTTTTTTTTTTCTTTTTTTTTCCTGGTACCCAATCAAATTTTCATAGAGTTTTGCGTTTGCTACCCACCCGTTTCGGTTGGGTGGCCCTACTTACCCAAGGGTAGAGGGCGTATTTTGTGCAACTTCACCGTAGTGAACGGTCCAAGAGCACCACACCTCATTTGACAAGGCTTTGTTCAAACAAACAATCTCTTTAATGCCCTGCTTACAGACCCACGCTACTAAGCTCGGCATAACAAATTATTACTTAAGTCATTATAAGCATTTATTATTGTGTGTTATTCCAGTGTGGGACTTTACCCCAATAGCAATATCAAAATCCTGACTAGAAAATTATCTTTCTAGTCTAGCTCGAGTATCTCTTCATTGAGAAAATTCCGGCTACTAGAAAATTCTCGAAACACCCGATAATACCTATATACTTATACCTACCACAATAGATAACCAAGTAGTAATCATAAACTCTTCAAGTTGCTTCATAACTTAATTGTTGTGTATTTAGGCAAGCAAAAGAGAAGCATTAATTTTACGAAGACATTAAAGCTTGACTATGATGTTTAAGTTGTCTGTACATGTGTGGACATCTATCAAAATGGACTCAGAGAAAAATTTTTTTTTGAAAATATCAGGAAAAATAAAATAAAAATAAATGACATATCCTCAACCAATGGCATCTCATATCGTGCACATATACATTACCAAATATAATTAGCTGCTCTTTTTGGCTGAAATTAGTGTAGAGAAAATTTGAACTCAATTGTGCAAAATATATGACTCCAAACAATCTCATTTCCTCAAAGCTATTTTTATTAGCTTCAAAATTAATATGAAATCATAACTATTACAGTGGAACATATTAATACATCCACTTGGAGGTTAAAATATAAACATAATAATAGCAAGAGAGCCAACAATAGCATGTATTTTCCCAAATATTTATTCATAGTATAGAAAATAAACTCTCAAGCATATATTCCAAAAAATTAAAAAACAATTCAAATAGCAATCAAAACTTGTTTACACTTAATTTCCATAAAATACTAATACCACAATTAGAATAATAGACTTTCATAAATAACCTGATCTCATCCAATCCATATACTTTACTAATAATCATAATAATACTAAATAATGATAAATAATAACCCTTAGAGATCCCATATATATCCTCATTAACCCATATTAAATAAATTTTCAATCAAAACTCATTATGCAAGGAATTCCATATTAGAAACGAAGTATAGTTCAAAACAAATGTCCACTCATTTATTAAATAATCATAGCTGAGACCCAAGACTCAACTTTACAACCCATCGATCAAGTATCCCATGCTCATCTATTCCATAACTTCAATTATCAAATTAATATCTAAGAATTCCATAAGATACTATAAAACAATCTCGTAATCCCAACATAATCAACATAATTCAAATAACAATCAAGACTCGTTAATAAGGTCGTTCTAAGACTCCTCGAAAGGTGAAACTACCTCAAAAGGCTCACGGTCAATCGATGGGTTAAACTGGCCTCAACCGGGCCCATGGGGCCCATGACCTCCAATTTCTGATCTAAAAGTTCCTACGAGTTCAATAGGGTTTAACATACCTGTCCTACAAGTTTGGTCCGAATCGAACAGTCGGATCACTCGCGATCACATGATCGGACGGTTACTATTTAACCTAATCTTTGAATTATTGTACCAAAGCATTCGGGGCTCCAATTCACGATCCGCGAATTCCTACACAATCCTAGAGGTGCATAGATCAACATATATGAAAATGGAGCCGATCCAATGGTCCGAACATATTGAACCTGGATAACGCCTAATATGAGTAATCCGATTGATGATCAAACAATAACCAAAATCAAATCCGAGTATACTGTCGTGCTCAAGACGACATGAGGATCATTTTAGGACCAAATGGGTCACCCAAAAAGTGTCGACGCATCGGCAAGCGTGGGTGTCTAGAGAAATTCCAGTGACTGGAAATCTCCAAACCATCGGTCAAGACCTATACTTACATAATCAGGACAATAAGTAAAGCAATTTTTGTTCTTGCCCCATACTTGCCAGAAACACGAGCTGAAAACCAGCCAAACTTTAAGCGATAATTTGAGTTCCAAAATGCAGAAATTGATCCTAATCAACCCAATCATCAGCTAGAACATATTGAAAAGAATGAAAAGGCATACTTAGATTGAAGAAATTGGTGTCCAGAATTGCCGAAACGAGTGTCGGAATTTTAAAGTAAAAACCGATCGGTTTTTGACTTTTTCGGGCAATAGGTGCGGCGGATTGCGGCTGAGAAGGGGTGGGGTCAAAATATGGCGGCTGCAGAAACTGGGGGGGAGTTGTCGCGCGATGGGGAGCTCTGAGAGAGAGAGAGAGAGAGAGAGAGAGAGAGAGAGAGAGAGAGAGAGAGAGAGAAGAAAAAATCAGATTTTTAAAACCCCATTTCAAAATATTTATGGTTATGCCACTAGGCTTCTGTAGCTCGTAACTTCTTCGTTACTACTCCGATTTGAGCCCACTACATGTCTCCGGACTCAGATCGACACGATCTATGTCATAATTCCATTCTTTTCCTCAAAATATTTCTGAAGTAAAAAGTTACCAAAATAACCCTATCTCTGAGGGCAAAATTGTAAATTTCCAATTCATTAAATTAAAT